TTAAAAAAGACAGTAGGAGGCAGGAATGCTGTCTCAGCAGTTAAGAACACTTAACAGCTCTTGCAGAGGACCTGGGCTCCATTCCCACCACCTACATAGCAGCTCACAAATGTCTGTAACTCCACTGCCAGGGGATTTGATGTCCTCTTTTGGCCTTCACATGCACCAGGCACCCATGTGATGCATGTACATACATGCAGGCAAAACATACATAGAAAGTAAAAATAGATAGGCTTAAAAGATGTTAGCATTAGAATTTAATATTTTTGCTGTTTCTATATAGTCTTATTTCTCTCTGGTATAAAACATTTATTCAGTAAATCAAAGTTCAACAAAGTACAGAGACTGTAGAAGCTTTTGTATATGCCAGGTATAGCTTATCTTGACACATGAATTTCTAATTTTCCTAGCCAAATTGACTTGCCTTTATGTTGACTATACCAAACACTAAAAAGAATAGATGATGGGAGCTGTTAGCCCTCTATTGAATTCATTGGTAGTCCTGAAATTCTAGTGCACATTCCACTGCCTAGGGTACTTGTTAAAAGAACAGGTCTAGCCGGGTGTTGGTGGCGCACACCTTTAATCCCAGCACTCGGGAGGCAGAGGCAGAGGCAGGTGGATCTCTGTGAGTTGGAGACCAAGCCTGGTCTACCAAGCGAGTTCCAGGACAGCCTCCAAAACAATACAGAGAAACCCCGTCTCGAGAAACCAAAAAAAAGGACTTGCCTTGCCTCGCCTCCCTTTCCCTCTACTCCCTCCCCCCCTTCTTCGCCCTTCCTCCTCCATCTCTCTTGTTCTCTTTCTACTTTTGGCTATTTTGAATCTATAGGTATACTGCTATACATTTTCTAGGGTCTGTCACCAAAAACAAATATACTTTCTGAAGATACACTTGTTACTGAGGATGTAGCTTAGTGGTAGGATGTACAAAACCCTGGATTCAGTGCTGCAGTAGAACTAATAACAAAAACAACAAAAATCCATTAATTATGTGTGTAAATAAGTTTTATTGATGGAATTTCTTTTAAATGTTGTATCTTAGACTCTTAAAGAATGGGAATATAAGAAAAGTATGTTTATGGTATGTCTTGCTATCTTTTTAAAAACTGCTTTGAAGCATTCTCTACTATTTTATTTGTTTCATTTTACATTGCTTTAGGAGCTGCATGATCCATTTCCCTTAAATTTAATGCTAGGATAAAATGTCTTATTTTAGAAAATTTGTTTTATTTTATTGAATAACAAGGTCAATACAAATTCTGTGTATTTTTGTCTTAGTTGTCAGAATGTTCAGAATTAACTTAGAACTCAACTATATAAATAACTAAACAGATACCAGATACATTCATCTTTTTAAATTAGTGGTAGTTAGTTTAAACCTACCTCATTCTTCTAAAAAGTATAAATTATGCATAAGTCAGAATTTAGGATCTGGGCATACAAAATTCCTGCACAAATGGGGTGGGGCCCCTAAGGTCCACCCTTGACTGAGGAAATTTTGGTGGCTGATCATCAGTCAGGGAAGAAGCCTCACTCTCACCTAGGTATTTTGCCCATGCTCCCACAGAAGCCCCACACACGTGCATATGAGAAGCACATGGACCCATGGGTTTAGGAGGAAGAGGTAGGGCATGGGAAAGAGACCAAGGGACATTTGGCATTATAGAGAGGTAACGTTGGATGGATAGGCTCAAAATACATTGTATAAATATATGAAATTTTTAATGAATACATTTTGGGTTTTGGTTTTTTTTTTTTAAGAATTTGGGGTTGGGGGTGTAGCTGAGTTGGTAAGAGTGCTTGGCTAGCATATACAGGCCTGGGTTTGACTTCCAGCACCACACAAACTGTGTACAATGGTGCTCACCTATAACCCCAGCTCTCAGTGAAAAAAGCAGTAAGAGTAAAATTCTGGCTCAGAAAAAGAAAAGAAAGTAACTGTTGGTATTCCCACTGTGGAAGATTGCTAAAGCTAACCTAACCATATTTGTCAGGAATATTTCTAACTGTAATTCTTATTTACATTTAGCTTCATCAAGTAGAATTATTGAAAGAATATTTTCGGGAGCAGTAACAAGGTATGAAAAAGTTTAAAATTTGAATTTTATTTAGTGGTCTAGTGATAAGTAATAGAAAAATGAAATAAAACAATTTGAGTTTCGAAATGATTTATACTGCTGCAGCAATCTCATTTTAGCAAAGCTTAAAACAGTCATTCCTTAATATTAGCACAATGTCCAAATATAAGTAACAATATCTAATCCCATATATTATCAAATTAGAAACAAGGGCCAGACCTAGTGGCATGGGGCTGTAATCCTCAGATACTGAAGCTGAAGCAGGAGGTTCACAAACTGAAGCTTTCTTAGGCTACATACTCAATTCAAAGTCTGCCTAGGCAATTTAATAACACCTTGTTCCAAAAAATTAAAAGTAAGATGGGTATGGTGATACATGCCTTTAATCTCTCAGAGACATACGAAGGCAGATCTCTGTGAGTTCAAGACCAACCTGGTCTACATATTGAGTTCCAGTCACTAAAAGCTACCTACTGAGCCAGGTGGTGGTTGCGCACACCTTTAATCCCAGCATTTAGGAGGTAGAGGCAGGTGGAACTCTGTGAGTTTGAGGCCAGCCTGGTCTACAGAGTGTGTTCTAGGATGGGCTCTAAAACTACAGAAAAATCCTGTCTCAAAAAACCAAAAAAAACATATTGAGACCCTGTCTCGCAAAAATTAATTTAAGTAGTTAGTTCAATAATAAATTAAAAGTAAAAAGAAGGATAAGCATGTAACTCAGTGGTAGAGTACTTGCTTGCCCTGTATTAGGCTTTAAGTTCAAACTCTAGTACCACAAAAGCAGCACAATTTTTCTTTTAATTTAGGTAGATATCTTCTAGTTTCACCATGTAGACCTTAGGAAGGAAGGCAGTCCTCAAAGGGTCAGTCACACTGCTGAACTATCCAGCTTTATGAGGAATCCACACTTTCTTTTCTACTTAGTACATTTCTAAACAGTGATGCTACTTTATTTCTTAATGGCTCAGGAAATTTTATAACCATGTGTTTTCTTCAGAGGAAAAACAGTACAAAAAGAGGGAAGAATGAGCTATGCAGATTTTGTTTGGTTTTTGATTTCTGAGGAAGACAAACGGAACCCTACCAGGTAAGTTTTTGTTGTAAGAATAAGCCCATGCACAGAGCTTGGAAAGAGCATACTATGTATGTGGCTAGTAAAGTGACCCGGCCTAGCCCCAGCAGGGTATGTTAGACTGTCCCTTTCCTCAGAGCTCAGGCTAGGAAAAGAGAGGCAGAGTCAGCTATGCTCATGGTGAATCCAGGGAAGAGCTGCTACCCACAGAAAGGTATAGTGAAGCAGACTCTTTCCAGAAGAGGGAAATGGGATTGGTGAGTATTTATAGTGTGGAGAAGAGTCTATAAATTTTAGTCCTTTTACAGTCTGCACTAGTTCTGTAGTAAATTGAAGAAGGAAAGAAAAGCAAATTATGGGACCAGAGAGATGGCTCAGTGGATAAAGCCAATCCATGCAAGCTGGAGGACCAGAGTTCAGATCCCCAGCACTTACATAAAAGCCAGGAAGGTATGAAGGCCCCGCCTGTAATTCCAGTGCTTAGGAGAAAGAGTGGTTCCTCAGGGCAAGCTGGCTTGCTATACTAGCTGAATCAATGAGACCTGTGTTTAACAAGAGACTCCCTCAGTAAACAAATTGGAGAGCACTTGGGAAAGATACCTGACACCAACCTCTGCCCTTTAAATGCGTGTACAAATGTGCACTTTCACCTATATAACATGCATGTGAACACACACACACACACACAAAGCAACAAATTGTGACTAGTATGTGAGATCACAACCTCATGCTCCCAGTTGAAGTCATCACTCCCTTTCTGTCAAACATGCCTTGATTTGTATGTGAATTTACATTCTCTTTCTGTCAACTGCTGAGCTGCTGTGTCCTTGTTAAGGCAAAGATCTAGGTCCCTCTCAAAAGGACCTCTTGCCTACAAAATAATGTCACATACAGTTTCTGCTCAGTACCAAGGAAGGCGGGTGATTCATTCCTTGATGCAGATTTGGAGTCTTCATATTGGCTCAAAAGTTATTGAAGGGACTAGAGAGATGGCTCAACAGGTAAGAGCACTGGCTGCTCTTCCAGGTGACTGGAACCCACATGGCAGCTCACAACTCTCTGTAATTCGAGTCTCAGGAGATCCAGCACCTTCTTCTGGCCTCTAGAGGAATGGTTCTCAGCTTGTGTGTCATAACCTCTTCAGGGGTCCCAAATCAGATATCCTGCCTATCAGATATTTACATTATGATTCATAACAGTAGCAAAATTGTAGTTATGAAGTGGCAACAAAATTAATTTTATGGTTAGGGGTCACCACAACATGAGGAACTATATTTAAGGGCCACAGCATTAGGAAGGTTGAGAACACTGCTCTAAAGGAACCAGGCATACATGTGGTACATAGACATACATGCAGGCAAAATATCTAAACACAAAATTAATTCAAATTTTAAGTTATTGAAATGTTTACTATAATGTACATAATTGAAGTACAAACGTAAGCCATTTTAGGATAGCTACATTTTAAAGTAACTGTCATAAATACAGTAATTTATAATCTATCAAAGATAACTCAGAAAACATGAAGTAAATAAATATTTGATTTGTACATGTTGGTACATACATGTATGCTGGTGCAAGTGTGTGGACATGAGACCAGAGGTAAGCCTTTGGTGTTTGCCCTCAGACACCACCTACTTGTTTCTCAGATAGGGTCTGTGACTTGGACCTGGGTTTGCCAGTTACGCGAGGCTGGCTGACCCTCCAAACTCCCAAGACCCTCCTGTCTCCATGGCCAGCACCCCTGGCTTTTTCCTGTAATGTCCTCAGACTTGCATTTTACTGACTAAGCTATCTTTGCAGTCTAATTCTCACACACAGGAAGAAAACTACTAAAGGAAAATATATATTATATAGGCTTTTTTATATATACTCTTATACATTATTTGTACATTTAAATTATTTTAGTAGAACTAATCTTTTTTTCTTTTTTGAGACAGGACCTTTCTTTGTTACCCAGGATGACCTAGGACTCCTGGGTTCAAGGCATCCTCCTGCCTCACTCTCCTACAAATTGTGCTACATACACTACTGTGCCCAACATTGAGTTAAATCTAAATTGTGATACTATATAATTTTCTATTAAATGTTCTCCTAAATATCATCTACTTGATAAAATTGAATAGTTTAGATGTCTACTATTTTTCTAAGGGATATAAATTTAGAGTTTCTAGGTTAAAGGGGGTAATTTTTTGTTTGGTTAGGTTTTGGTTTTTTTCCAATGGCATTAGGTAAACTTGGCATAGTGATACACATCTTTAATCCCAGCACTCGGGAGGCCCAGGCAGGCAGATCTCTGTGAGTTCCAGGCCAGCCTGGTCTACAAAAGTGAGTTCCTTGACAGCCAGGGCCACACAGAGAAACTCTATCTCAAAAAGCCAAAGGGGGGAGAAGAGTCTGAAGGAGGCCGGCAGGATGTGGTGGAGCACACCTTTAGTCCCAGCTCTTGGGAGGCAGGCTGATCTCTCTGATTTCCAGGTCTGTCTGATCTGCATGACTCCAGGTTAACCAGGGCTACAGAGTGATACCCCCTGAAATGCGGTAAAAACAAAGATAAAAATCTGAAGGAAAAGCACTGCCAAGCTTTATTCTAGAATTAGCCAAAATACCACATTAGAGGTTAGAAAAAGGAACCTTTCCATATCTGAGATCTGAGCCAGGAGGTTGCTGTGTCCTTCTGTCCAGCTACTCAAGTAGAGCAGAATCACATGAGTCCAGGAGCTAGAGGCCACCTCAGATTACACAGTAATAACTTGTTTAAAAGAAATAAATAAAAATGTTTAAGGAAAAACATAATGGAAGATCAAAACAATTATGGGCTGGAGAGATGGTTCAGTCGGTAAATTACTTTCCATGCAAGAATGAAGACCTGAGTTTGATCCTCAGAATTCATGTTTTAAAAATCCAGGCATGGCACCTGTTGTAACCCAGTGCTGAGGAGGTAGAGAGAGGTAGATCCTGGAGCTCACTAGTCAGTTAGCATAGCCTATTTGGCTAGTGAGAGGCCCTGTCTCAAAGGTGGAGAAACAACTGAGGAAGATAGCCAGTGCCTACCTCTGGCCTCCACATGCACACACACACAAAGATACACAGAACAACTTACCTGCCCTGACTCTCCTCTGTAGGATACTTCTAGATAATGTGCGTGTCACAGGACAGGGAAATGCAAGATCCAAGAGACACAGGAGTACAAGGAACTTTCAAGATGAAACTGTGAACCAGGCATAGAGATCAAACAGACCATAGGAAAATAAGTCAGAAGGAACCAAAGACTATTTCAGAAAAATTCAATTGTTAGAATAGCTGATGTGACTGAATGTGCATCTAAACAACTGGTAGAGATGTGAAGGCTGATATAATAACAAGTACACAGGAAACAAAGCAGAGCTAGGTTAAAAGGAATGTACTGTTAGTATTAAGTGAATGGAATTGATAAAGACCAAAATTCTCATTTGTTGTATAGAATCAAAGCACAATTCTGAAACAGAAAAATGGAGAGAAATGTGGGCTAATGCTCTGAAAATACAAGATAAAAAGTAAATAGTGGAAATGACTGATTCTGAAATTTAAAAACAGAAGGAAGAAGGGGTCTTCCTTTTTGTTTTTCTTATATTTCTGGTTGTAAGCTTAACCTTTAATGGCTGAGCCATCTCTGCAGCCCTCCATTGTTTTTTTCTAACAAGCCTTTATAACTAGGTATAATTTGTAATAAACATGTAAATTTACTTAAAAAGAAACATGCAGTAGTACTTGAATAAATAAAGAACCTCTACCATGTACACGCTAATAAGCCTCTTTTACCTCCTAGTATTGAGTACTGGTTCCGCTGCATGGATGTAGATGGAGACGGTGTACTTTCCATGTATGAGCTGGAGTACTTCTACGAAGAGCAGTGTGAACGAATGGAAGCCATGGGCATTGAGCCTTTGCCATTCCATGATCTGTTGTGCCAGATGCTTGACTTGGTGAAGCCAGCTAGTGATGGTAAGACTAAATGAATAGCAGTTAGCAGCACATCTCATCCTTAAGCAAAATGGAACATAGAGTACTGTATTATCTGAATGTATTTAGCTTTCCCGAATTCCCAAGTTTAAAGTTTCTCTCTCCTTGACTATAAGTATCAGATCAACTGTTTAAGAAATAGAACTTTCAAGGCCAGCCTGGTCTACAGAGTGAGTGATAGGATGGGCTCCAAAGCTACACAGAGAAATCCTGTCTTGAAAAACCGAAAGAGAGGTGGAAGAGGGGAGACAGAGAGACAGAGAGAGAGAGAGAGACAGAGACAGAGAAAGAGAAAGAACTTTCTAAGTCAGGCAATGGTACCCAGAGAGCAGAGGCAGGCCAGTCTCTTGAGTTTAAGGCAAACCTGGTCTACAGAGTGATTTCCAAGACAGTCAGGGTTCATAGTGAAACCTGTCGAAGGAAGGAAGGAAAGAAGGGGAGGGAAGGAAGAAAAAAAGAAGAGAAGGAAAAGAAAAGAAATAGAAGGTTCCATAAAGAAAGAAAGCTCTGTGACTCCGAACTGTGGAAGCGAGGAGGGATGGGGAGGACTTCCTGATGGATACAGCTCTTTGCTGGGAAGAGGAGAGCATAATGTCATGGTGTTGATGGTTGTACAACACCATGAGTGTGCTTAAAAGCCTCTGGCATATACAAGTTAAAAATGATTCGCCTTGATTTTTAATATGATTATAATAAACATACATATATACTTTTCAACACCAGTGAGGGTTTTTTTTTTTTAGTTTGTTGCTTGTTTGTCAAAAAGAGCTATCAGTGAAACTGACAGGACATATTTGTTTTTCCATAGGCAAAATAACTCTACGAGATCTGAAGAGGTGCAGAATGGCTCATATCTTCTATGATACTTTCTTTAACCTGGAAAAATACTTGGACCATGAACAAAGAGATCCTTTTGCAGTTCAGAAGGTAATGGTGTACACTGAAATTGAACTCTCAGTTTGGTACCAAAGGCTATATGCTGCATATTAATTAAATGGTCTGTGTATTTAAAAGATAACACCTGAAATATTTCATCAGATATGAATATAAGTGACAATGAAGTCTGTAAAGGAGGTGAAAAGGGATGGGGAGAGAGAGAAAGAGAATACAAACAAAAGAATAAGAATCAATATAAAGATCTAAGACCTGGGAGTGGTGGTGCATGCCATCGTAGAGACAGATGGGCATCTGTGAGTTCACGCCCAGCATGATCTACCTAGCAAGTTCCAGAACAGCCAGAGCTACATAGAGAGTCCCTGTCTCAAAATAAATTCACAAATAAATATTACACACACATCTCACCCACAGCCAATATGAGGTCAGGTAATCTCCAGCTCTAAGTCCTTGCTATCTAGTGGGCTATATTGCTATTGTAATTGTATACATATTAGAAACTAGTTTCAAATGGTAGTTTTGAAAAAAATGCATCAGTAACACATCTTACAAGCTACACTGATCTTGATTTGATTGTGCTATGCACTTCCAAGTTAGTGTGACAAATAGCTTTACCCTTCTAAGTGACACCAGAACATCTCCGTAATGGACAGCTTCAGATAATTTAACACCTTTCTTTCTTTTTTTCTTCCTTCCTTTCTTTCTTATTTCAGTTTTTCAAGACAAGGTTTCTTTGCGTAGCTTTGTAGACCAGGCTGGCCTCCAACTCAAGAGATCTACCTCTGCCTCCTGAGTGCTGAGATTAAAGGCATACACCACCACTGCCTGCTCAGCAATTTAACACCTTTTCAAGTCCTAATGATTCCTGTGTGGTACTATCAGTTTTAAATGTTGTATTACATGAGAATAGAGACAAGCTCCTTTGTTGTGAGCACACAGCTGTTAGATCATCCGTAAACCCCGAGTGGAAGGGAAGGTCAGACTCCATAAAGTTGTTCCCTGACCTCCACATATGCACCATAACACACACACCTACTCAAGTTATGTACACATGCACACACGCACAAAATACAAATGATATTTTTTAAAGACTTGTGGTTTGGTTCCCAAGCACCCACATGGTGACTCACAACTGTCTTAACTCCAGTTTTTGAGGATCCAGTACCCCTTCTGATCTCTGCAGACAATGCATACACATGGTGAACATTGTACATGCAGGCAAAACATTCGCCTTTTTTTAAAGAGAGAATTATGATCAAAAAATGTAAACTGCTTAGTACACATAATTTTGTAATTTCAGATGTAGATCACGGTTGCCTTAGCCCCTCTTTTAATATGTTGGAACACTTTCAGAGAGGCAGAAATATACATTTGTGATGCCCTACTCCATTTATGTCTTTATTCTAATTTCCTCCTTTTAATTAGGATGTTGAAAATGATAACCCTGAGCCCTCTGACTGGGACAGGTTTGCAGCTGAAGAGTATGAGGCTCTTGTCACAGAGGAGTCCGCCCAGGTGCAGCTCCAGGAAGGGTGAGTGCATCTCCTTGGCTGTTACAAGATGTTAGTGGGGAATACTAAACTGCCTCTTCAAACCCTTCTGAAGTTGTCCACTTTTGACTAACATAAAAGAAGTATGTCTGGTTTAGCTACCTTAGTTTGGATGAGCACACTCCCAGAAGTTTTCTCTTGCATTCCAATGATTCCTGATAATCTCATGTCCCATTTCCTTTAATAGTCACACCTTTCATGGAATCCAAGATCACTGAGCACAACTCTGTAACAGTCAGTCAGCCTGGTTAAGAAGGGCAATAGAACTGAACCTCCTCTAAAAAATAACTGGACCGTGTGTTAAATGAACCAAAGGAAAATTCCATGCATGGCTCATGCTAAGAAAGAAAGATGTCCAAAAAATTGTACTATTGGGACATTTCATCAGTTGTACCATTTGCTAACTTTTCCATTATTTTCTGTGATTTTAGAAATTCTAATTTTTCCTTAGTCTTTGTTGGGAATACAGACATGTTGTGCTACATCTAATGTATGTGAGTTATGAAGCTCTGAACTCAGGTCTGGATACTTGCAGGAAAAATGTCATCTTCTTGGTGCCTAATGACTCATATTTTTATAGCTTTGTAATATTCCACTGTATCATTGGACCATTACTTTACAGTCTTTTCTATTGCTATTACATTTTTTAACCTTCCATTGTTACAGATTATGGTGTCTGACAAGTCATCCAATATATATGTCATTTAATATAGAAGATGAATTCCGAGAACACAGCAAGCAGATAAGCATATCCAAACTAGGTAGTTGTAAAGAGTCTAAGAAGACATAAAAGGGTTTAAGGAAAGCAAGTGATGATGGATGCAGACCCTCATACTGAGCAGTAGTGAGGAAGCATTTCCATGTCTTGGTCTAAAGGGACAAGGACATGAAACAAGAGCCAAAAACAAGTAGCTGGGTGAGAAGGGCCCCTGGCAGGATTTAGAATTTTGCAATCCTAGGCAACTCACCTGAAACTAGGAGCACACATCCAGCCCTCTTCATATCTCAGCAACCTGGTGAGTCATCTTGAGCCCTTGAGCTCCAGAAGACCAGGGAGCTCCCTGATGTGGTCGAACAGTTCAGCCTCCTGGAGCACAGAGAGAAAGGGGGATAAACATCAATAACCAGTCCATTGGGTAAAGTGGGACAGTCCTCCAGAGTTGTACCATTTCCTACCTTTCCATGATTTCCTGTGGAGAGGGGGAGACTGACCTTGAACTTGTTGATCCTCCCTGAGCCTCTCCAGTACTGGGATTAGGATCCTGTGTCACTATACCATGCCCATGGCATCTTCAGTATCTCTTTTGTAGGTGTAGAGTATACCATCACCAATCTTCCTTTTAAATCTGTAGATTATTTTTCTTTCATTAGTCATAAAACCAAGATTTCATATAAAAAGTTTTTTTATAATAAAAGATGACCCAAGTAGGCTGGGTCAGAAGCCAAATTTATTCAGGAAATATTAATAATAACTGATGACAATTGTCCCTTATGAATTTACTGGGATGCAACAATGAAAGGTCTGATTTGCCTCTTTTGTAGGGTAGCTTTGTTTACTTGTTTTCCACTTTTTAAAATTATAAGTCCCAGAGGCTGAAGAGCTGCCTCAGCAGTATGAGCACTTGCTGTCTTACAAAGGACCTGGGTTACATCCCCAGCACCAACATGCTCACACTGTGTGTAACTCCAGTTTCAGGGGTCTAACACCCTCTTCTGGCCTCCCAGAACACACATGCATACAGACAAACACAAAGATAAAACAACCATATACACAAAATGATAAAATAAACATTTTAATTAATTTAAAAATACAAGTCAAGGCTGGGCGTTGGTGGCACACACCTTTAATTCCAGCACTCAGGAAGCAGAAGCAGGCAGATCTCTATGAGTTTGAGGCCAGCCTGGTCTATAGAGCGAGTTCCAGGACAGCCTCCAAAGCAATACAGAGAAACCCTGTCTCAAAAAACCAATAAATAAATAAACAAGTCACAAGACGGGGATGGGGGAGATAAGCCTTACAGCAATGCCTCCAATTGCCTTACAGCAATGGAAGAAAATAACAAATAATAAAAATTCAGACAATTTAAGTATAAAAAACAAGCCTAACCAACTAGAACAGTGGTTCTCAATCTGTGGGGTCTCCTAAGATATCAGAAAACACATATATATTTACATTTGATTCATAACAGTAGCAAAATTACAGTAACAACAAAAAAAAGCCAGGCGTTGGTGGCGCACTCCTTTAATCCCAGCACTCAGGAGGCAGAGGCAGGTGAATCGAGGCCAGCCTGGTCTACAGAGTGAGTTCCAGGATAGCCTCCAAAAACAATACAGAGAAACCCTGTCTCAAAAGACCAAAAAATAATAATAATAACAAAAAAATTGTATTATTGGGGGTCAGCACGACATGAGGAACTCTATTAAAGAGCCAAAGCATTAGGAAGGTTTTGAACCACTGAACTAGATAGAAAAGAAAATACAATCTGCTGGGAAATACACTGTAAGAAAAATAGAGGATTTTTTGTGTAAATATTAGCAACAACAATTGAAAGGAAACACAGAAGAAAATACATGTGTAAGTCAAACTAGAAGAATTATATGTTAATTAAAATAAATACCTAGAACAGTGAAGCCAAATTCAAAATATTTTTATTCAGTCACAAAGCATACACACAAAAGCATAGACCACATAGCATAAACTAACGATGACATAAACAAATGTTTTTAGATCAATGAATGTAAAATGGGTAAAGTTTCTTAATAAAGAAACTTTAGCCGGGCGGTGGTGGCTCACGCCTTTAATCCCAGCACTCGGGAGGTAGAGGCAGGCGGATCGCTGTGAGTTCGAGGCTGGGCTGGACCAACAGCCTCCAAAACAGAGAAACCCTATCTCGTAAAACCAAAAGAAAAAAGAAAAAAAGAGACTTTAAATAATTCAATTATGGAATAATGACCACCACCAAAAAACAACAGTATTTTAGTAATAATGTAAAAACTCTTTTAAAAAGCTGACTTGATATTATTAAATTTAAGAGGTAAGAAAGAAAATCAGAGGTATGAATTGAAGCCTAATAGTGAAGTAGTTCCTGATAAAAATCTTCGTGGGTTTTGTCCATAATACATTCACAGATGAATACATATTAGGACACAAACAAAACATCCAAAACTAGCAATACAAACAAGCTTCTGATTAAAAGGTGGACTGGCTGCCAGGCAGTGCTGGCGCACTCCTTTAATCCCAGCACTCGGGAGGAAAAGACAGGAGGATCTCTGTGAGTTTGAGGCCAGCCTGGTCTACAGAGCAAGTTCCAGGAGAGGTTCCAAAGCTACGCAGAGAACCCCTGTCTCAAAAAACAAACATGCTGCAATTTTCAGCTCCCACACTATGTAAATAAGAGTTATAGATGGTGGTGGCTCATGCCTGTGACCACCATCTAAGAGACCAATCAGTTAGATCATGAGTTGGGGACAGCCTGGGATACACAGCCAGACCCTGGCAATGGAAAACCACCTAAGGAAAGAGAAGTTTGAGGTGGACCAATAGAAGGATAGAGAACAAGACCAGAGCGAAGGAGCCAGCAGTGGAGGAGGCTCTTTGTAACAGACTACAAGGGGGCAACTGTCACAGCGCTTGGTGATCCCTACCTGAATCTGACTAACACCTAGTACTCAGAAGACACCAAAAGCAGCCTTCACACAGGTCCAGCTCTGTATACCCCATCTTGTCCCTATAGAAAGACAAAGGCAAAGAATATGGGAACTAGAAGAGAAGGGTCTGCCACTGAAAGACACAGCAGCACAGAGCAGACCATCTTCCCAACCCTAAGATTGACAACACCAGCAATCCCACTTGCCCCTACCTAAGCAACCAGTAAGACAGAGGCAGCAGTCTGCTCCCAGCTCCAAAGATAGTGAACTAATGCCAGACAGCTGCGAAATCCCAATAAAATGCAAATGTGAGGACTTTCACTTTTGGAAGAAGTCAATACAAAAATCAAAACAGGAAATCAAAATGAGTGCTCTGAGGAATGAAAAAATGTGCTCTTGGCTGGGCTGTGATGGCACACGCCTGCCTTTAGTCCCAGCACTCCAAAGGTAGCGGCAGGAGGACCTCTGTGAGTCTGAGGCCAGCCTGGTCTACAGAGCAAGTTCCAGGACACAGGGAAAACCTGACTTGAAAACAAACAAACAAACACATGTGCTCTTAAAGACTACAGCTAGTGTTTTAGAAATGAGGAAATTTGTTTTCCTGTGGGGGCGGGGCATGACTGTAAGGATTCTTATGCTGTGGTGCTCAGGTAGAGATCAAAGGTCAACTTTCAGACAGATTCTTGCCCTTGCGGGATCGGGGAGCAAACAAAGGTTGACTGACTTGCAAATAAGCTCTTTTAGCACTGAGTCACCTCACAGACGCAGGAAAAAATCTAATGAAGACTGCAGCATGATACCAAGTGGAATGGACACAGTTGAAAACATTTGTACTTGAAATGCTGGGGGTTTTTAAACACCCCTAGAAAACAGCAGGAAATATTTTCTAGAATTTTAGTTATTGAAGCAACAAAAGGATGCATGGAAGCAAGAATCAGCTTTTTTTTTTTCTACCCATTACAAATATTTCAGGGCTTATGGGACCTGTTTCAACTGTGTAAGAGATGCAGATAATGCCTGAGCAAATGTTTCTCACTGTATTCCAATAGAACTCTAAAAATAAACCCAAAGGTACTAATTGCACAGTGTTTCACACCACAAAATATTCCTGTGATTTTTCTCTGAAATTTAAAAAGATAAAAGTATTCTTGTCTCACAGACTGTACCAAAACAGGTGTAAAGACAGATTTTAATCATATAGTTTGTCAACCCTACATAAGAGTGAATTCACTGTACAAAAAAAAAAAAAAGAACTGAAAATGTTCAGTAAGAAAAATAATTATCCACAAAGTGAATGCAGGAAGAAATTAGGCAACAGTGTATAATTACTACCTGACAAAAACAACTTAAGGAAGGAAGGGTCTATTCTGGCTCACAGCCTGCCCAAGTGCTTTAGTCCATCCTGGGGGCAGAAGCTAGAGGCAGCTGTCACACTGCATCCCCAGGTGAGAGGCAGAGATGAATACTGCTGTTAACCCTTTCTTCCTTTTATTCAGGCCAGGACTCCACCCCATGCAGTGGCTACACCACATTTAGGACAGGTCTCCCCACCTCAGCTAACCTAATATTTAAAAAAGAATCACTCACAGGCATACCTAGAGGTGTATGTCCCTTCAAGTTAGCAGCCAAAGTTAACATTCAAGTACTACTATGAAAATAACTTTAGGGACTGGAAAGAAGGCTCAGTGGTTAAGAACACTTGCTGTCCTTTCAGCTAACAACTGTCTGTAATACCAGAGGATCCAATGTGCTTTGCTGGTCTCCAAGGGCACTGCACACAGTGGTGTACTTACATGTATGCAAAACATTCATACAAATAAGAGAAAAATAAATTTTTTAAAAAGAAAACTTCAAATTCAGAATTCCACATCTATTAAAAATGTGAGGCTCAAGTTGGGCATTGGTGGCGAGCATGCCTTTAATCCCAGCACTCGGGAGGCAGAGGCAGACAGATCTCTGTGAGTTCGAGGCCAGCCTGGTCTACAGAGTGAATTCCAGGACAGCCTCCAAAACAATACAGAGAAACCCTGTCTCGAAAAAACAAAAAAAAAAAAATGTTAGGTTCAAATGTTTTAGAGTTTCATAGATGTAAAATTTTGCTTCTCACAGAACATTTCTGGAAAAATATCATATGATGCTCATCATAAAAGTAACTGGGACCTTGGAAATAGTGAAATGCCCTGAGATGTTGTAGGCTGGGGTGCAGCTCAGCGGTGGAGCGAGCATGCCCTTAATATATGTAAAGTCCTGACCTTAGCCCCAGCATCTCTCTCATCCCTCAAAAAGCAACTGTGAGTAATGAAATACCTCAGTTACTTTTCTGTTGCTGTGATAAAACACCATGATCAAAACCAACTTATAGAGAAAGGAGTTTGTCTTATGATTCCAAAGGTATGAGTGCCAACATCATGGCAGAGAACGTCAGGTCTAAGAGTTCAATATATGAACCTATGGGAGACAGTTTTCATTTTATTATACACATAAAATAGTCTGTTAACTCCCAGAAAATAAAAGGAACAAACTATAATTGTTGTAACTCAGTAAAACCTCTCAAAAAAAAAATCACTGTAGGGTCTTAGTGAATTAAGCACATACTGCTCTTGCAGACACCTGAATTTGGTTCTGAGCACCCATGCCAGGCAGTTGTGGCTTGCCTGCAACTAGCTATGGAGGTCCACCTGCTTCTCTTCAAGTGCTGCTATAAAAAGTGTGCTTATCACCAAGCATGGCTTACATATTTTTTAAAAGATTTATATGTGTGCATCAGTGTATTTGTGTGAGTACCCAGAGACCAGACAGTGGTGTTAGATTCCTTGGAGCTGAAATCAACAGACACGTGTGAGCCACCTAGTGTGGGTGCTGGGATCCAAACTGCAGTCCTCTAATAAAGCAGTGAGCATTCTCTACCTCTGAGCCGTCTCCCCAGCTCCTTTAGCACTCCCCCACCCACTGTTTGTACCTCCTTTAAGAAGGGGGAAAAGATAGATAGCAGGTGTAAATACATAGTATGTTTGCATAAACATAAGAGAAATTTAGTATTAGTTAAAGATAAATAGAATTGGATCAAGAAAAAAATTCAAGTTGTAGTAGCACCAAGAAAAGTGTCAGTGTGCATGGAACAAAGAGGAGGCAGGGGATACAGGTACAGTCGAGAGGAGATGGGTCACCAGCTGTTGTGAAATTCAACCCATCCATCCGAGACGCTCTTGTCACGAAGCCCTCTTCTCATGTGGTGGGAGATAAGGCTTGTATGGACCACATGTGGGTGCTGCTGTCTCTAGGGAAGAGAAGGCAGCAGCCACAGCCTGTCAGCAAAGGACAGGGAAGGACTGTTCCACACCTTAACAGTTGACTGCTCCAAAAGCAAAGCTGGGTCTACACCTAAAAATCCCAAGACTACAACCTAGGATTTCATCTCATGAAGAAGTACAGGTATCGGGGTGAATAAATGTCACACAAAAACTGTCAGATAAATATCAGAAAAAGGAAGAATGTTTGAGAGCTGGCCAAGTCCCCAGCTGAGCAGGTTACCTGACTCCTCCAGCTCAGTTTCAGAGGATTCTGGTAATTACCTTCCAGAGTCATTGTGAGGCTCAGAGATGGTACAGGCAAACAGCTGGCACCCAGCTACGGGGAACAGTAGCTATGACTACTCTGGGTAGAGAGTTGGAGTCTCTAACATCACAGCCATGAAAATTTGGAGTTAGGCAATACTAACCGTAAATCTTTGTTCCACTACTCTCTAGTGTGAGCCTGGGTTTCCAAGCCTCAGAATCCCCTTCCAGTGAAACCACTGCCACACCATGTTATTTTAAGATTTAAAGAAGACAGGCATATAACTCAATAATGTCTTTGGGCCTAGTTCTCTGTAACAAAAAGCAATGGCTATTTACTTCTCCAGCTTCTGTGACTGTGGCCACATTTACCTAACCTCTACCAAGTAGAGTTTAGTCAGCCGTAACTAGCAATCACCACTTGTGCTGAGTGCTTCATTCCCAGAACACCCCTAACACAGTAAATATGTGAGATGGTATATGTAGCATCTCCAACAGAACCTGGCATATGGATGGAAACAGATGGACTTACTTGCTTAATCTTAGTGCTAGATTGTGAGCGTCTCAAAAGCAGAGCCGCTTTCTCAATCTTGTGTGTAACCCATCACCTTGTAATTGTTAGGGTCTGCCTCAGCGAATATTTACTATGAGGCACACAAGCAACGTTACTCCAGCTGATGGAACCACAAAGATGTCCTCTCCAAGCCCAGAACACACAACCTTTAAGTGCCTTTTAAAGGCACTTAAAAGTCTTTCCCATCTACAGTCCCAGGTTGCCCTTGTGACATGCTTCAGTCAACAGTCAGTAAATGACCCAGGCCTAAGGCTGAATACACTGCAAATAAGCATGGCTTGAGGACAAATTATCACAACAAAGAACAGCATGAAAATTCAACCCAATAATGAACCCAGGAAGACCTGTACAACAATGTATGAGGAAAGCAGGTCATACCATTATTTGTAATTGGCATCCTTGTGTTTTCTACAACAAAGTAAATTAGGATCCCAGTACCCACACAGTAAGACAAGTGTTCCCAAAAATGCCTGTATCTCCAGCTCTGAAGTGGGTTGCTGGCTTCTAGCCTAGGTAAGCCCCAGTTTCTGTGAGATGAGAGACTGCCTCACAGAAGGAGTACAAAGTAATAGACGAGGACACTAACACCCTTTTCTAGTTGTCACATACACAGGTATGAGCACTAACAAACATGCATATACACCCAGACAGCTACACATCTGAATTAATTTGGGGGGGAAGGATCAGCAGGTAAAGGTGTTTGTTAAAATCTGTAGACCTGAGTTTGATTCCCCAAACCTACATAAAGGTGGAAAGAACCAACTCCACAAAGATGTCCTCTGACCTCCACATGTGACTTCACACACACACACACCCATCATGCACACACGAAAATTAATGTTAAAATTGCTTTAGTCAAGCAATCCACTTAAGTATACTTAAGTGTTACTAGCATTCAAAAACAGGACTTTCAAAATGCTTCAGTGTTCCCTAAAGCAGTACCTTGTCCACGTAGGCAGTTTATAAGAATCGTTCTATCCATAGTTGCACACACCTGTAATCCTAAGATTTGGGCATTTGAGGCAGGAAAACCATACATTTGAGGTCAGCCAAGACTACATAGGGAGACCTTACCTTTTAAAAAAGGTATTGTTGAGGCAGAGGCAGGCGGATCTCTGTGAGTTCAAGGCCGGGCTGGACCGACAGCCTCCAAAACAATACAGAGAAACCCTGTCTCGTAAAACCAAAAAAAAAAAAAAAAGGAATTGTTTTGTTTTGGGTTTAAGGGGCTGGAAGGATGGCTCAGCACTTGCTGCTCTTGCAGAGGACCCAGATTTGGTTGCCAGTGCCTACTTGGCAGCTCATAACCATCTATAATTCCAGTTCCAGGGAATCTTGCGCCCTTTGCTGGCCTCTGTGCACGCTGGCAACATATATTAACATTCAGACAAAACACACATAAATTAAATCTTAATTTAAGTTTTCTGGGTTTTTTGTGAGTTTTATTTTGTTTTGTTGGGGGCAGTTGTTTTGTTTTTCAAGACAGGATTTCTCTGTGTAACCCTTGGTTGGCTGTCCTGGAACTTGCTCTATAGACCAGGGAGGCCTTGAACTCACAGAGATCTGCTTGCCTCTGCCTCCACAGTGCTAAGATTAAAGGTATGCACCACCACATGTTTATTAATGTTCATAATTAAGGCAAATCAACTTTCTGAGGAAGGAGAATAGGTTAGTAGACATTAGGAACTTTTATTGCATTTGTGTGTATATGTAAACATGTGCATGCATATCATGACACACATGTAGAGGTCAGAGGTCAGCCTATCAGTGTTAGTTCCCTCCTTCTACCCTGTCTCATAGGGATGGAATCAGGCTTGGCAGCAAGCACCTCTGTTGAGCCATCTCATAGGCCTACATCAGGAGACTTGTTTAAGTTGGGACGAAAGAGTTTCAAGAAACTAAAGTTCCATGAACTAAATGTGGAATTTTCCAAAGATTTCATTTAATTGAATTTCAATAAAGGGCCTAAGATATGTTTTTAATTTAAAATATAAGAACAAGCCTGTTAGCATTCAGGATGGAGATGGCTTCTAAGGAAGAGGCCGTTTTAAGGGTGTGCCCTCTGATTGGTCATGCTCCACCAGATGGCTCCACACCAACGAATATAAGGGTAACACAGATTGGCATACTTATTACTTTAAAAAAAAAAAAGCTGAAGAGATGGCTTAGCCATTAAAGGCTAGCCATTATGAAATTCTCAAAGAATGAAAATATATCCAAATAACAAGCTGGACACGATGGCACATGTCTTTATCCCTAGCACTCTAGAGACATAGGCAGGTGGAGCTCTTGTGAGTTCACAGCCAGCCTGGTCTACATGACTTTCTGGCTAGCCAGGGCTACATAGTGGGAACCTGCCTCAGAGGGAGATATAAGACTGGGAATGTGGCTCAGTTGGTACTGCGCTTACTTCTCACACAAAGCTCCCCAACTTCTAGCCCCAGTATTGTTGCATAAACTGGATGTGGTAGCACCTGCCTGCCTGCAGTCCCAGTACTTGGAAGGCAGATAGAGGAGGAGGATCTGGAGTTTGGGCTACATTAGACAGCCTGTCTCAAAAAAGTCAAAATGTAATTCATACTTCCACTTCTGGATTATAAAAGGTTCCAAAACTAGTGGGTTTTTTTGGGGGGGGGGGGTTGGTTGTTGGTTTTTTGAGACAGGGTTTCTCTGTGGTTTTGGAGGCTGTCCTGGAACTCAATCTGTAGACCAGACTGGTTTTGAACTCAGAGGTCTGCCTGCCTTTGCCTCCCGAGTATACTGGGATTAAAGGTGTGTGCTACTATACCCAGCTAAGTAATTGGTTTTTTACTTACTATGTAGCCCTGACTGGCCTGAACATCACTGTATAAATCA